CCCCAAAACCCCAAAACCCCAAAACCCCAAAACCCCTTATTTTTAGGTAATTGTTGAAACAAAGTTGTTATCCCTGCTTTCTCTATGAGAAAGTACCAAATGAAGCTATTCAGCATTGGTTCTGGCTGTCAGCTGTAGAGTAGACTACATTATTTCGGGTCTCTCTTCTTCCTAGGTCTCTTTGGACCCAGAATGTTTTGAAGGACTCCAAAATCACCGCTGTGGGCACTATCAACTGATTTGTTTTTGAACGAAGGGGTTTTGGACTTATTTGTCATACTAAGTTCGGCTGCAGGAGCTGGATCTTCTGGAGCAGATTCTTGCTTACTCTTGTAAACTGAACAGAGCTTCTCAAGGTTGTGCATTAAAGACTGGAATTCTAAAGGGATTAGTTCTTAGGAATACCCATGCTCTTCTCTTTGGAGTTCTCAAAGCTACCTTTCTTGGATGGATCGTGGCTCTAGGGGTTATGAAGGGACTTACCTCGATATATGTGGCAACCATTGTCATGAAATCACTATTTTTCATATTGTTTTGACCGAAACTGATCTCCGATTCATTCTTGTCAGTTTGTCTTTCTTCAGGCTTGAATCCTTGGAAGTCATTCCTGGGTTCTTCTTTTGAAGCAGAGTTTTGGCGGCGTGGCCGGGGCTTGCAGTCTAAGATTCTTTGGGGATTTGAGTCTTTCATTCTTAACTTCTCTCCTTCTCTGAGTAATTGAAGCATTGAGAGCTTTGACCCTGAGTTCTCTGCATTAGCAGCCTCGTCTATATTTTGAGTGTTTTGGAGCATACTTTGGTCTTTTTCAGCAAGATTTTTACCTATTATGGAAGAGCCTTTACCTAGCAAAGAAAGAGGATCCTCTGCATCTTTATGCTCAGTTACTGGACCTTTGATTTGGGCTGGGCTGAGGAACCCAGTTGACATTTCTAGGGGCTTCTCGTAATGGTTCGACTTATTTATCATTGGTGATTTGGTGATGACCCTTAAGTTCAGGATGTATTCATCTTAGCCTATAACTCCTTGTTAGATCGACAATTTGACTTGGCACATCTCAAGCTGTTAACATCCCAATGAGCCTAATTTGGTACAGAAATGAGGACTGGTTTGAAAAACTGAAGTTTCAAACACAAATTTTAAGCTTTTAAGAGTGAATTGGATCCATTAATGAATGTTGAACCATACCTGCTTGTATCTGCTCTGGCTTTCCTTTTGTGCAGCTTTATGCCTCCCTTGATGATATGATCAAGATGATTTAGGTGAATAATCCTCTGGCTGAGGGAGTTTTCAGGGAGAGCTTCTTTCTTGCTCTGAATTATCTGAAGCCTGTTCTTTGCAAATTCTTCGAATTTGATAAACTGTTCTAGTTTCTCGTAGTATTGAAGTGTGTCTTGTTCCTTTCCAACTTTTTCTAGAAGGACAGCATAGTTGAAGAGGATCTGAGGAGAAAATCTGTCTGCTTCGACTGCTAGTCCGGCATACTTTAGTGCTTCTTCGATCTCGTTTGTGTCAAAAAGGATCACAGAGAGGGAGCTTAGGAAAGCAGGATTTTGAGGGTCATTTCTTACTCAATCTTTAAGCACTTTTATGGCATCGTGGGAGTTATAGGACTCTGCATAATGCCTAGCCTGAATGTATCTACAAATACATGCTTCTTCGTCGATCCCATTACTAATTGAGTCATTTAAAGCTTGAGTGTATTGGCTGCATTGTTTCTTATCCTTTATTTTGAAGCAGCACCAAGCCAGGTAGGCATAAGCTCTCCGATTATTTATATCCAAATCTAGAGCTTGCTTGTAGCAGTTGATGGCATTTCCAAAGCTAGACTTCTCCTCCTCTATTTGACCCATTATGAGCCAGATCTTGAAGGTGAAGTTCTTGTGAATGCTACGTATCTTGAGAGCTTTTTTTAGGACCTCTAGAGCTTTATCAAGTTCATAGATCTCACAATACACTGTTCCGAGTGTGTAGTATATCCTAACCATTGTTTGTTCATCGATATCCATATTGAGCAGACTGTTTAGAACCTTGATTGAGTAATCGTACAACTCAAGTTTGACGTAAACATCTCACATTTGGAGCCAGAAGTTGGGATCCTCCCGCTCAGTATTTCAGTGAAAGATGTATCCATGGAAGCAGTTGTAGGCCTCAATGAACTTGCCTTGGTTGTAATAGATGATTCCTAGTAATCTCCAGACTTCACCCATGTAAGGGTCTAGTTTAGTGACCTTAAGGTAGAGCATCTTTGCTCTTTCAAGTTGGTCACTGGAGATCAACTCGTTGGCTTCCTTCAGAAGTCTCTCGATGTAGCTGTCATATTTTGAAGGTGTGAACAACTTGTTGTAAGCTTTATACTCCCTAGGAATTGGAGGAAGAGGGAATGACTCTAGATCTTCATACGAAAAATTGTATTTTTCCAAGCTAGCCAGCTTCTCATTCACAAATTTTGAGTTATTTTATGGTATCTGTAGGTGAAGAAGGGCCTTGTCTTTGCCATCCATAAGGATTATGGTCCTATATGTGTGAATTCGAAGCCTTACTGTGAAATAATGGTTGCTCATGATAGATTTCTTGGGATCAAATGAGCCTTGTGGAGGGATTTGACTGTACATGTGCTCCCCATCTCCGCTGTTTCTTCGACCATAGCTTATTTCACTAGCACGATCGTCAAAGTTCATGTTCATTGGGAGGTTCTTACCACCTCCCATAGTCCAATTGTTGAATTGGCCGGAACGGGAAAAGTTAAAATCATTGAAATCTGCTGATTTCGAATTCATCTGGGAATATCTCATCCTGGGTCTACTCACAATTGATGAGAACTTTGGTCGAGAACTCACATGATTTTCGCCTAAAAATTAGATTCCCTATTTTAGGCGACAACTTGGCTTCAAAAAGGATTCTTACTTTGAGAAAGCTGTTGAGTAATTTCCTTGTTCAGCACTTCTGAGTTCGAGTTGAGTGGAGCCAGTGTTGACATGCCTTTCCTGTGAGAATATTAGAAGACATTAATAAAATAAGATAATGAGGTTGGAATTATCGTACTTATTTGACCTCCTATTTCCCTTGTCAATATGCTCAAAGGTGTCATTGATCATTCCAAAGTCGTTAGACTTCTGCATCATGCTCATGTTTGATGTGAAGTTGTTATTGAAGGTGTTCGAGCCTGCAATGAAGTTGTTTCACCAAAACATGTTCGGGGGCATTCCTCCATTGTCAAGTCCACTGATGTTGATGCTATCTTGTGACTGCATTGATTTGCCATACATCATGTAGGTCTTGGCACCTCCTTTTTCCTACAGAAATATAAGTGAAAATGAAGATTTAGCTGTATTTTAAGGAGATTTTGGGTTAAAAATTCCAGAAAATAGCCGATCTGAAAGAATTTGGATGAAATTCAGGGTTCTAGATATAGCATCTAATCTAGGAAATTTTGGATAAAGATCGGTGATCTTTACCTGAAACTTACGTCCAGATTCTCTGGCCGAGGTGGTGGCGCAAACGGGTTGATCTGGTTGTAATCCCCTGACGCATACATCGAGCTTGACTTTTTAAATGACTTGTATGGATGTGGATTCATTTCTTAATTATATAAATACAATTATTACAAATTAACTAGGGGTTTTGGGGTTTTGGGGTTTTGGGGTTTTGGGG